AAAATAATATAAAAAAGATTATACTGATGTTTAAAACAAAAAAAAAACTGCGTGCAAGCCAAGTTGTAACTCTGAACGTGGGAAAGTTAAATATTTAATTTGTAAAATTCAAAAAAGGGACGAAATGGACGTGGCTGTGCCACATCCATTCATTTCTGTTTTCTTTTCGGTTTACTTTTTCGTTTTAATTTAGTGTTTAGGGTTTAGCTAGGATTTACCATTGGTTTAGGGTTTTGTGATTTTTGTGTTTAGGGTTTAAAATTTTATCCCATTTTCTGGTTTGAAGGAAATGAAAGTATTATTTTTATCATTATGTTTCGATTAAGGATAATAATAAATATATATTTTAATTTAATATACCACATAATATATTTATTAAAAAATTATTATTTTTAAATTTAAATTAAAAGCACATTTAAATTAAGAGATAATGATAAAGTTAAGGAAAATAATTAACACATATTTGCTCCAACACACTTTTTGATACTTTCTCCGATTTAACTATTAAAATATAACTAATTAAGTCGATTCCTGCATCTTATATATAGTGTTTTATCTTTTAATTTGTATGTCTCTAATTTTATATTAGGAGATAATGATTTTTTATCAGTGTGTTACAAAGTGTGTTAAACTGAAATATGTTAGAAGATGAGAGATAATTATCTCTTATTATGTAAATTAAAATTAAAAAATATATATAATCATCTTAATTTGTAACACTAACAGCCATATACATTGCATGAGCAGCTAGAAAATCAAAGAAAATAATACTTATAAAAAGTGATTAATTTTGTTATCAAAACACACAGTAGACATGTGGGTTCAATCCTATTCAAGAGTCTTCATATATTCTCATATATAATTATAGAAAAATATTGTACAATCTGAATTATATTGAACTACATAATTAATCATTAGATGATATTAAGAATCTTCTTCTTATCCAACAATTTATGTTTTATAGTGCGATATAATTTGAATTGCACAGCATGATTCTCTATAATTTATACCACACTTTAATTACACTCCCAAAAGTTAAGATACTTAGACTCCCACTACACACACAAACTTCTCCCTTCTTGAAGCCTTAATGAAATCATAAACATGAAAAAGAAAAAGGAAAAGATATTGCTGTTTAAAAAACAGAAAGAAAAGAAAAAGGGAAAAGGTTAAAACGCCTTTTTGGTTTTTATATTTTAATAAAAAATTTATTTTTAGTTTTTTTACTTAAGAAAATCTTTTTTTTTCTTAAAATTTAAAATTTGATTACCTTTTAATCTCTTTGTTAATTTTTTTTCCTATGACATACTATTTTAATAGAAATCCCAAAAGAAAGGAACTAAAAAAGAGGTTTTTTTTTTTTTTTTTTAAGTAGAGGGATTAAAAAAGAGCTAAAAAAATCTTTTTGGTTCCTCTATTTTGAAATTTTCATTATTTAATCGTATTGTGTATAAAACAATACAAAAAATAACAAAAAGACTAAAAATAGATTGATTTTAAACTTTAAAAACTAAAAAGAGAATTTTTTTAAGTAAAAAGATTAAAAAAAACTTTTTATTAAAAGCGAAAGACTAAAATATAGTTTTAACCTATGGAAAAATTTATAAACGCAGCCAAAACAAAACACCCTACCCCTCAAAAACACAAACAGATTTGGTACAACTGTACAAATTAAAGTCCCCGTGTACCATCTGAGCATAAAGAAATGCCCAGAATCTTTCCATCAAAAAAGAAATACCCAGAATCTCATATAATACGGGATATGAGGCTTGTTTATTAGATAGAGATAACGTGGATATGGATTTAGGCTGTGTTTTTTTGTTTATTCTCTCTGGCGCATTCAATCAAACACCTAGGCACCGTTTTCCTAGTGATTTATATTGCTTTGCATGTGTGCACACAATCTATATATTTTAGATATTGCAGTAAGGGCTTTTCCTTTTTTATTTTTATGGAAAGGGGTTTTCTTAAATAATAAGAACTTAAAATTTACTAATGACTTGTTAATCCAAATGTAAAGAATTCGGTTCCTCTTAAATAAAATCTCGAGTTCGAGTTCGAGTCTTATGAATGGTTTAATATTAAAAAAAAAAAACACTTGAAATTTTATGTTAAAATTTCACCCTTAAATATTGAGATAAATAAGAAAATATTTGGAAAAATAAAAAAAGAATGCTACTATTTTGTTATATAA